GATCCAAAAACAACCCACCTCCAGCTAGATGCGAAGCGCGCTCCATAGCACCGGCTACAAATTCGGTGGCTTCATTCCAGTATGCGCATACAAGCACTAGTTCCGCACCTGCTGTTTGCGAGATTTCGCAATGTACATCATACAAGTCTAATGGGAACAGTCGGGATGACCATTTCGGCACATGCTACATAAGTTTGCGGTTCAACTGGCTGCATCTAACCCCGTGGGATGAAGAATGTATTCCGGACTGCTATAGGCGTCGTAACAACAAGCATAAGCGGAAAACGATGCTAACCGACATTCATCCCTTATTTTCACTCAACCTACTTAGCCAGGCTTAATTAGAGTAGCATGCCCACATAGAAATCTCAAACGAAATACCAACTAATCTATATTTTCCGTCTCTGCTCCAGCATTAATTTCTGCCCCTAAGTTGACAAGCAAATCCAAAAATTTTCATTTCTCCAAAGCGTGCTGAAAAAAAGAATCCAAAACCAACCCCCTTTCATCTCTCTCACCATTTCATGTTTGTTGCATCGACAGTTTATCATAAGAATTAGCATATGCGTAACGCCGTGTTCACAAATCTCCCACCCACTTTCACTGAATATTTCAATCTCTGCTTGTGGAAAATATGATTATTTTATTCATGCAATGCGATAATGCAAGTTAATTTAGTTATATCCTCCAATTCGCTATATTTTAACAAGTTTCAATGAATGAGCACCTCAAACACTCCATGGAGAACGCAACAGAGCTTGGAAAATATCTCTCCACTAACTGACTTTGTGGTACCGAATGATCAGACACATATTGTAGCGCCCTAAAAGATAACTGCTATCTTTCATGTACAATTTAATTGTTAATCGATTGTACGTTACTCCTTCTTGTTTTACTTTTCCTTACAACCGGCTCGTCACTCGACAGCCTTGTAAGTTCCCGCGCTCACGTGGTCGCTCTTGTCGCGCTTCATCCGGTCGCCTCTTCTTGTAGCCCATCGAATACAGTCCGCTGTGTTTGAGTCCGATTGCCTTCTGATATCCGCGCCTTATTTCGCGCACCGTCTCGGACTAGTATTATCTAGTCCTACAAATTGGTGACCCCGATTCGCACGCGCGAATTCAATTTTTTTCTTCTTTTTGTATTTTTTGGTGAGTTCTTTCCTTTTTTCGATTATATACCTGTATTCGCTTGTTGCTTGCGTAATTTTGGTACGTTGCTCGTGTTTTTGTTCATCCTTTATCTTTTCGACTCACATTTCGAGAGTGGCATCTGAGTCGTTTCACAGCTTAACCATGCTAATTTTGATTGTTCCATGTTTCATGGAACACAGCCCAGCCTATCAGCAGAACATCGCAGAAACCTTCAGTGCTAACCACAAACTGCTGTACAAGCATGTTAATAGCCTACGAAAGGCGAGGCAAGGATTTCCTCCACTCAAGACGGCTGATGGCCCAACAAGAATGCCCATGGAAGCTGCAAACACGCTGCAGATGCAATACGCCCCCACGTTTCAAGGAGTCTTGCCACCAAGCGATCTACCAAGCTTTGTCTTCTGCTCGCCAGGACTAACCCACATCAATTTTACCGCAGAGGCTTTATTGCGAAAGCTGACATCTCTACGCAAACACAGCTCGCCGGGTGTCGACACCATTCGTCCAGAGGCATTGGGAGCAGCAGCAAACCAACTGGCAGGACATTTAGCTCAGCTTTTCCAGCGCTGCTTAGACCAGAACCAAGTTCCCGCCACGTGGAAGCTTGGAATAATAATCCCGATTCACAAAGCTGGAAGGAGAACTGATCCCTCCAACTTCCGCCCAGTAACCCTTCTTCCTATACTCTTCAAAGTCATGGAATCCATGGTCACCGATGCACTGGTGTGATATCTGGAAAACTGAAACCTCATCACTCCTGAACAGTACGGTTTCCGTCGACAGCGGTCATGTACAACTAATTTGCTAATTGCACGCAGTAGTTGGACCGAGGCTGCTTCATCCGTCCGTTTCTTGTTGTAGCCCATCGAATACAGTCCGCTGTGACTGACTCCGATTGCCTTCTGATATCCGCGCCTTATTTCGCGCATAGCTGGAGTCACTATCCAGGTGGATTAGTCGCTGCTGCGAACTGTATCTGCTGTAGCTTCGTCGTCAGCTATAAATGAAGTTGTAAACTCATTGCGTAACCGACTTTGTCTCTCAGAAGTAGGAATGCCTGACTAGTTACACGACGTTGTTCGACAAGAAATAAATAAATATGGTACAATAGTTCGTCGAAGGCGCAGACTGTGCAACAAATTCCATTAACTATGTTTCGGTTGACGAATATGAGGTGCAAAAATAGCAGCGAAATATCCGCAACGGTACGAACACGAACATGCGTTTCTATTTCGAATAGCAGCTTGCAACCGATGCAAAGACATCATCGAAGAGACACTGAGTACGTGGAACTGCGTCTGAAGCCGGTGGGTCATCTGCTCGTGATAGAGAGCTCAGAGGAATAGTCCCTAACCTCCAGCACAGAACGTGCGCTTGTCTTGGCTGGGGACCTTGCTTCTTTGTTTGCCAATACATGAGCAGGTGCTCGTACCGAGTTCGACATTTACTACCCTTAACCAATACGGTGGTCTGGATTGTGGTGTGGAAGAGATGTATCAACTACTCGACAACCTTAACACCAAGTCTGTTGGACCTAACAGACTTCACCCATTGACCCTCAAGTCTATCGGATATCATCTCGTCTGTCATGACTGACCTGTTCAACAGGTTGCTGACCGAATGTTCATTGCCGATTGGTTGGAGGCACTCAATAGCAAGGCCGATACTGGAAGGCGGTGACCACAGCAAAGTGCACATCTGTAGGCTAACTTGTCAGACACATATTTTAGACAAGAGTGCCGAGACGATTCTGAAGAAGAGTATGCTACAGCTCCTCCGGTCAAAAGATCTCCCGCACCGCAGTTTCACGCATCATCAAGTTGTTAGTGACGAGACATTAATAGTTGCAATCAGTGAACAAGGGGAATTCAGTCGACATATGTTACCTCAGCTTTAGCAAAGCTTTGGACAAGGTGAATCACGAAGTCCTCCTCCACAAACTGAGAGCGAGCGGTGTTGTTGGTTCACTGCCTCAGTGGATCCGCGAATTTCTCGTTGGATGAAAGCGAAGAGTACAGGTCGAAAGATATCAAACTGGCTGGTGTCTCTACATAAGCGGCGCACCCCAATGCACAGTGCTGGGTCCACACAGTTCCTAATCCACATCAACGAATTGCCTCTGCATCTTCGGTTGTGGTGTGCTCTACTTGCTGACAGTCCGAAGACATGGAAAGTAATTTGTAAGCCTAGCTGTTGGGGGCTACTTCAGCAAGACCTCAGCAACCTCCACATGTGCTCTACAGATATTCGCCCCCTAATCAACCCATTCAAGTCGGTTTTTATACGTCTGGGTAACAGTGGTGACAGTTGAACCTTGACGGCCAATTGCTACATCCCGCACCTCCGGTGAAGGACCAAGGCGTACTCTTGTGCTGTGATTTGAACTACTTGGAAGACACAACCAGGGTACACCGAGCGATTGCGCCATACGCTCAAATGCGGCTTCTGCACTTTATTTGGAGAGGCTGCCACTAGCCTCAGCTCATCCATTTTGGGATCAATGCCAGAGTACAACTCGGTCGCTTGTTCTAGGATCGCCCGAGGAAAGGCGCGCAGAAGTGAATTGGTCCAGCAACTCACAACAACAGTCTCATTCCCATTTTATAGGATTCAAAGTAGGAAGACTTTTGAAAAAGACTCGGAGTGCTCCCCTTGTCCTATCCTTTATTGCGAGTCTATCTAATCATGATTTGACGCATATAACATCTGGGTAACTTATTCATGATCAGACCACTGCTCCACCTACAAGCACTGTACCAGAGGCGGACGCCGATACAAGCTTGTGATGCCGGAGATGAAGCCAGCTTCTCATTCCCTTCGAACGGAGAGTGGTAAAAGTTAGGGACATCACAACCAGGTCTCACAACTATGATTGGTTTCCTCCAACTGCACTGATGCAAACACGTCGTCCCCAGTAATCTCGACCCCGATGCACCCAAATGGCCGGATTGGCTCATGTGCCGATCATAGCAACGGTGATTGGCCACAACCTAGGTGACCGAGCACTAAAAACAAAGTCAAACATGTCGGCACGGCTTCGCTATGGGTAACCACGTTACCGTCCACAACCATTATCAAAACATTCAGAACATAATCCAGCAGCCAACGGAGTCTAATTGGCAGGACGTCCGTGCGATATGTACCACCGAACACAATCAGAGCAATGAAGATGTACTCGCAATCGAACAATCACCTCACGGAGACCACCTTCATAATCTATCGTCGGAGAACGGAGAGCCTAGTCAGCAGGATTCACAGAACGAATCGGTGAGAGATGATGGACATCAAGGTCAACCGACGGATGAGAAAGAGAAACCTGACGAAGAAAACCATTCCAATCCAGCATCCGAGAATGTAGAGTCTAGACAGCAGGATTCACAGAACGAATCGGTGAGAGATGATGGACATCAAGGTCCACCGACGAATCAGGAAGAACAATCAGACGAGGAAAATCATCCCAGTTCACCGTCGGAGGATGGAGCGTCTAGTCAGCAGGATTCACAACATGAATCGTTGATAATTAAAGGTCGTCAATATCCACCGGCAGATGGACAGCATATTCACCATGATACTGTCCACTATCCTCCATCTGACTGTGATCCACCAGGTTCCCAGAAGTGCTATGAATCCACGCCTTCTCACATTAAATCGGACTCCAATCGAAAAAGCTGCATAACATTCTCAAATGTAGGAACATGCGGAGTAGATCCAACTGGAGGCTTCGACAGGCAACTGACGAACGATTCGACCAACACATTGCTCAACGTTCGCATTGTCGAATACCAACCCAGTGAAGTCGAACTCTTATTTCCCATAGAAGTCCCAAAACGCGGTCCACGTCGTGATATGTTCCTGACTCCTCCATATGAGATTCCTCGAATCAGTCCGTTTGCAAGCAATTACCATGAGGAGTCAGGACGACACGTCAAGCTCAATTACAGTGGGACTATAGACCAATGGATGGATGAGACATACGAATATTCGAATAGACACCCGTGGGATTTGAGACAAGACACGGTCGACTACTCGGTGAGTGTATGGTTGCTATGAGTAACAACAATGTTAGTGAATTTTTCGTGCCATACAAGCGCATTTTTGGACTTTTTCGCTATTTCTTGAATATAACACTTATGGGTTTAGTGTGCTATGTCACCACTGAAGGTAATGAGAGCACTTAAAGAATACAATGGACGTCAGGATGCCGTGCCCGTCGTGATGGATGGCGCTGGACTTAGTGAAAGATGAGAACAAAGTAAATGAGCATGATAAGCCTTTCCACTCGTAGTTGTTCTGTATGTCGGTTACATTGAATTGTGCGTTGAGAAGTGACTGAATATTATTTGTCTTATTGCGTTCATCTACCTACAGGCATATCTCAAAGTAAAAATCAATGCTCGAGGATACCGACCAGAAGACATTAAAGTATCAGCATCGAGGAGCCGTATTGTGGTGCATGGACGCAACAGCAGGAGTACTACCAGAACGTGCGGCTCATGCACATTCTGTCGCACAGTGTATTTACCACAGCCAGTGAAACCGGATCAGTTGGAATGTCACTTAACTTCGGTGAGTACCGGGGTGTTTGTGTAGTGTTGCCAACTGAATGCGTTATACAAGTGTTCTGCTTGCTTATGTGAAAGTCGGTGGTTTGCCAGTCGGAGCATAGCTAATCATGCGTCTAGGCATCTTCGGTTAGGCGCAGGATGCTCCAGCTACTAATATTACTAAACGCTAGACCAGCGTACATGTATTATGGCTTTTTCTGCTCTATTTGAATTCTCTTACTCTGCAGGAAATCTGATTTTGAGACAGTTAAACTTGCGTTGGTGAAGCGGATTCATTGCCACAATGGATACATTGCGGGAAAAATGGCAAGTGCAAATCAAATGCCGTAGGAGTGAAGAGTAACTCTGTGGGCTCATCGTTCACACCGAGTAGTCACGTCACCTGGTATGTAAAAGAAGCCGAGACAAATTATGTGATATGCCTGAAGTATTTCGGTAACAATTCGTTCCCGGATTCGGATAAGGGAGAATCAGGTAAAACAGGGGTCTAAACGGTGTTCCACAATTGACACACCTAACAACAAATATTGGTGGCATATTAATGGACCGAACAGTGCGGTCGGATTTAACTAGTGGCCTCAGAGTGGTATTTTGACTAAGGGTTTTGGGGTTCTGCTTTGCCAGTATTATGTCAACACGGAAACCAGCGGTGACTGAGATGGAGTAAGCAGCAGACGCTTTCAGTAGCTCTTTGCATACGAGAGCGGGGATCACACTTCTCTCAGTGCTGACTTAAGTGCTTAGCTATTGCCGAAACATGGCGCGGTTAAACACCCTAAATACCTTCCGCAATCGAGATACATTCGTGCTGAGGTATGTACCTTGCAGTTACAGGAACTACTTGATGATCTAATAGCAACAGTCCGATGAATTTTCTAGGGTAAGCAAAGGCGTCGGGATGTCACATCTTCAGATTCGTGCTCGAGCTTACCCTGCGTGTATGAGTTTGCCCCACTACAGGAAAATTTATTTCAATATAACCTCACCAGACTGGGCGTACATGTCCACAATTTCTTCACGGAATAAGCACAGGCAAAATTAAAGCAGTTACTATTCTCACTGGTCAGGTCAGTGTGATTCCAAGCGTTAAGCGTTCAGGATTTGCTCCTCAGTTGAAAATGGGGTATTCAGCTCGGCGCTGTGCTTAGTGATGTAGGTGATGTGTAGGTGAGTTGATTACTCCAGGCAGTGAGGCAGTTACTTCGGTGATGAATCGCCTGAGGAGGGTTTGGCCAGCGTGTCGTTTCTGATGGGGCTGCAGTTGCTCGGGGTCTGTGGGAAGTTCTGTGCCTCGGCATCGGGTTCCCATCAGGACGTAGACGGATATCTGATGGTGCTCGTCTTTTATTAGAATACTAGATGGGAAGGGCATCGCTTGACATGCTGGCGGTGAGGAATTTCAGTTTCAGGAGATGGTGGACTGTTCCTGTGTAATTCGCTGGACGACGTGGAAGGTGAACGTCCGTTGTGATTACGTTGACAATATTTAGGGTCTGCTGAAAGAACCGCCATCGAGTACAGTCATGCTGTTGTCGCTGTTGTATGGTTGTCTCAAGGACGCGCAGTTTTGAACGCCATGGACTATGGTAGAGCATAGTTGAGTGGGTGGCATCACTTGCTGCCTGCGCGCAGCGTGGTTAGTCCAATGCATGTCGGAGAAGATACGAATACGGTAGATGTTGAGAGACGCGTTATTTCGGAGTAGGTATACTGATTACAGAACATACTCCATAACCGGGCCTGGCTGCAAGTCAACAAACAGAAGGCTTACCGGCGCTCGGAGACGAAGGGTAACGAGTCAGTCTTGTGAGACCAGTGTGTTTTGTTTCAGGGTTTAACGCGATACAGATCGAGCTCCACATAATGAAATCAGGAGAATGTCGATACTGATGTTGCGGGTGGTTAGATTCTGGCACGTTTGTACATATGACAAAATTAGGAGTAGAGCTACTTGTTATTCGCTTAGATAAACGCGGATGTGGGGCGGTATCAGGCTTACTTGGTGGGAGGGCCTCTGACGGGCATCGGCGAGAGTTGGACTGATCAGCAATTTGTAACTGTGAGACGATACGTGATTCAGGATGGCTGGGAGGTTGCTGTTGTCGTTTGGTTAGGCCGTCGACTTTCCTCGGTAGGCTCTGTAGCTGTTCTTCCAGGCTAATCAAGCGCACTTCAGAGCGAGTATCGCTGCTAGGAGGCTCACCGAACCGTGGTGAGCTGGGCAACTGCGTCTGCGACTGGTTGTTACGCGATGTAGAGGGTGGATTAGTAGGAGACGAGATTACAGAACCAAGCAGTGGGAAACTAGGGGAGAAAAGGTCGCTAGGGATATCACGTGCGGAATTCGCAGTGATGGGAACACAAACCGGACAGATGTACCGTAGGACCGATTATGGGTGTGAGCGACAGAATTCGATGTCAATTGCATGGAGTGACTTGTCACAGGGAGCAAGAATACGGTACAGACAGATCGAGCACGTGATGGCTTTGGAACGATGCCCTACACGCTGAGTGCAAGTCGAGCAATTGTTCAGTGGCCACATAGGCGTATTGGGCTAGACCGAAATGATTGGCGTGGTCAGAAGGATGACACAGATGTTTGCACATAACGTAGATGGTTACCTGCCTCAGGAGAGTAGTACGCACAGAAGGTACCTATGCTCAGAAGAAAATTGTATCAATGTAATAATTGTAATTAAACAGGAGTGAATTGACTAAATTTTTCATGGTTCCTATCTTCATTTAGAATGGCGTCCTGATTTTAGAAACCCCGATTGATTTATGGGGCCGTGAATCACAGGCCTGTTATGAAAATACTCCAACGGAGGCTGATCAGAACGACAACGAGCCACCAATTTCTACAGTGAAAAGTGAGTGGTTTACTACCGGTCTGTTGCTCATTAATGCACGTCCTACGTGCAGGTTGAAATGATATCTAGAGTACATTTGCGGATAAGTTGCTTAAGCGCACTGCATGAAAATGTACTTAGGAATAACTTGCTTCCCCATTTTCGCCCGTATAAAGTTTTCCGGGTTCAGATTGCTTACAGCATGTTACAAGTAACCATCGTAGTAGCACTCATGAACTTGGACTACGTTTCGAACCGATTAAGGGGAACTGATATCAGAATGATCTAAGGATAGCCGGAGTACAGCAACCGTTTTGCATTTGACACTAGAGCTGTGTCAAGCCATCGGAACTAACAAAAGGTTGGTTTGGTTTTACTAATAAATTAGGATGATAACCGCGAACGCGGAATCTAAGCCAGCGGTTATTGACTGTATTAAGTCAAAAGCCATCTCAAGTGAGTTTCGAAAGAACCAAATGTGTGCGCATAACCAAGGTCTTGGTACTAGCATTGGTTCCATTTCCGCTCGCTATGCTGAATTCGTTCGCAAACGCTCTCTTTGTTGACTGCGAGTGGAAAGTCCACTGCACACCTAATAGCTCCACTCCAAATATTCTAGGTTTGTCCAGGTCACCTTCATTAGCTGTATCATATGCGTGAAAAGTTGGCCCGGAGATGCATCCCTTGTGTTTTGTTTTCGGTGTACACAGCCGTTGCAACCAATGTTATGGAAGCGATTGAATGGTGTGCCGTTCTTGGAAAGTCATTCTTGTTTCCTCGCTGCACATTAATCGGATCGATGCAAATTGTTCCTACTTCTTAGGGAAATGTTTTGCTTGCAACCCACACTACCTTGCGTTATTGGTGACAGTTGAGGAATTTCAGCGACTGGCGCTTCACTGACCGTCTCGGATATCCACAATCGTGCAATTCGTGCATTGCGCGCTCCTAGTGACCTCATTACTCTACATTGGACATTCGATCAGAGATTTGACGATACTTGTATTAATGCGCATAGGGTGACCCGACCAGTAGGGGATATTGCATCTGCATCCATAAGATCGCTAGCTATAAGTGTTACTTAAGTTCCTCTGTTTTCTATTAGAACATCTGCGTATTAAACCCTGAAAGTAGGACAATGATGAACCTCAGTAGCTTGACGGGATTATCGTAAACAAACGTTGAGAACACAGCTATGCATCCGTATATATATGGTTGGCGGCTTCCGGTTTCGGATTTGCCTGTCACTGTGGCAAGCCAAAGGACGCCCGCGCCTACAGAGGGACCATGGATGGCTTGCGCTGCACCACCCACAGCTCCAACCACATACCCCATATCCAGTGTAAACCCGAAGGAATAAGACCGGGAAGCATGCGGATGGGAGCCAGGTTTCATCAACGGAGCCGGCCCACACTCCTTCACAGGCAAACACAAGCACACTGTATTTGGGAATCAAGCGTATATATATATATATATATATATATATATATATATTCGTTGATGCAATTATACCATTATCTTTACCGGACTACCAACTTTGCTGGTAAAAAGTTTAGAAACTACGATATTTTATAAATTGAGCGTGATTTTCCTAACAAGTCAAAATTTTCGCTTGTGAATACGTGTTTGCAGGCATCATTACCCGCCGATGGGAAGACCAATTGCCTCCATAAAACGGATTGCGAGCTCCGCACTCATGCATAGGCCAGATCAAGAGGGAAGTGCTTATAGAACACAAGAGGAAGATTTCACGGCGTCACAGGCCATTTATCGTTCCTCTACTTGTGCACGTGTTGTCTTGCGGCTGACCGCAAGCGCTGAGTCAGAAGTAAAACTCTTTCGCAAGTCAACTGTCCTTGGTTCCCCCATTCGATTTGTTACCAGATGTCGCTGGACGGAAGATGCTACGCTTGCGTGTTCCAATCGAACCCGGTTTCACAATCGACGATTTGAGTGTGCGCGCTGACTCAACACATGTTGTGGTATCAGGACGGACTCGGGTGATGGAGGGATCTGTTTCCGCACACTGTTCCCATTCGAAGGAATTCAGCCGCACCTATACGATGCCGGATACAGTAGATCCGCTGTCGGCGGTCGCACGACTTTATGGCGAGACCCTGGTTGTGGAAGCCACGATACTCAAGTCATCATGAAGTATGTTCGAACTTGACTGCTGTACATATGGAGTGATTTTGTATTTCCGTTTTCTCATGAATGAATATTTCCTGACGGACTTCGTCTCTTGGATTACTGTGCGGGGTTCATCTAGTCGTCTGGGATATGGCATTCAGGGAGAATATGTTTATGCAACCCAGTTCTTGCGCAAGCGTTTTCCGTGGAATAGCATCGGATCGCTGTTGCCGGAATTCATTAGGCGTCGAACTGTAATTTTGGGTCAATTGCAATCCAGGCACACCATTGAGACGTGACGAGAGCATTTAACACAACGAAGTGTTTCCGGACGTACAAAATACTTGTGATATACGTTCAGCTGCCCCCATCATGGAACTAAGCGTGCGACGCTGCCTAGTTTAGTAACCATAAGCAAACTAAACACGCACATGCCTAAAGAAATAACGACAAAATTTTATTTGATGTGCCGAAACCGAAGTATCACCAACGCTCATGAGTCTGTGCACATTATGTCCCCAGTATTGAGTGACAACTTATCGATGAGTAAACAGCAATTTGTTCCCTGGTACTAAGTGCACTGCATTAACTGGACTGGATACTTTATGCTGGTCACGTCTTCCTGCCTGAGCGATTCTCAGATGAACGCACGTTAAGGATTGGTAATGCACCATAAAATATACTTCTGAGTACCTTCGTCCTAGGGCCGACATGTGAGAGAATGTACTTCAGAAAACACGCGTCATTTTGCCCTTCGTATGCGTCAATACCAGTTCGGTATTCATCTCTCAACTTAGGAGCCCGAACACAACTGGACCTTGTGCAGACCATTCCAGGCAACAGTGATTGAGTACGGTAATCAGATTCGCACAGTATCGAAAAATGCCAAAGTCGCCAGCTACAAGCCATCGGTTCACTATTAGGGTGTGTAGGTGGGAGTATCAACGGAATGACAGCATGCCGTACTGACGCTTTGTGGTAATGTGATAACTAGCAGTCACGCGAAGGCTGAGGATACTGTGAGCTCCCCCGATCCTACGCAGATTCGGGCCAAAGGAATGTTAAGTCACACTGGGCTATATGCACTCGAGTGGAAACATTCTACAACACTTTGCATTAGCAGGTTGCGCGTGTTGAGGCATGGCATTGAGGTAGTATTACAATCAAGAGATAAAATTAAATTATACAAATAGACCACTCAAGGAGTTTCACATATGGTATTGGTAACATAATTTGGGTCCAGAAGAAAACGGTAGGAGTACGATACCAGAGTTATAAAAAGTGCGAGTATGTATAACTGATTATGGTGCGTATAGACGAACAATAGGTAGAGCGTTATCTAAATCCTCCTCCTTATTTATAACTTTTAATGTAAAGCTGTCGACTCTCTGAGTAACCCACTACACCATAATCACCCGCGGTACAATAGCACATCTGTTCCATTGCACTTGTTCTTCTTCGAAGCATTATCACACCCTCACTAGGCCAATATAGGAAAAGAGGAAGGCGTCAGAAGTATGATGACGCGTCGTATCAACCCTTGCTTCCACACGGCCAGGAACAGACACGCGCGGGTTGATGATAGTACGAACTCGCTCACAGCTAAGCGGTTACGAACCGGCGACGTTTGAGTCAAAAGGCGGACACATCGTTCCCCCGGCCACCATGCAATATACCAAACACAAAAGTATATGGACAGGTTGATGGTTTAATTCCCCTTGTGGACACATATGACAATCCTACTATACTAGTGTACATTCCTTGATTAGCTGTTTTACTTTTACCACGATACATGTGCAGCTTTGCATATCTTAGTCGAGAACAAAAATTTAGTTAGTTAGTGTTGATTGTGATCTCCAGGAAACTGACCGAGAAGTTTGGGACTACGAAATTGGAATGATGTTCAGAATCCTTGAGTTCCGTTGTTTGCTGACTTATGCTTTGTAATCAAGAGCAGATGGAGGCAAACAATCGTCACTAATCATTACCACAAACAAGCAGTTAATTATCCCAGATGGGGCTGGAAATAGACAGAATACACTGTCACTACACTTGGTGTAGATCGGTTTCAATTACTTATCATAGTTGCTCTCAATTTCGACTCTGTGGTGTGCTGCTTTCGCTCAATATAACATAGTTGGTAATAGCAACTATCGCTCTGTTCGAAATAATTGGAAAGGGACAGCCGTCGGATAATAGTGGATGAGTACTCGGTTGACCTTCTTCATAAGTATCCAGTTGATCATGAAGGACTGGAGACAGGTATTGCTGCTTAACGAGAGAATTTGACAGGGGTCCAAGAAGTGAAAACAAGAAATCGGTTAACTTCCACTGTTGAATTCCATGTAAGCATAAAAGCCACGAGGTCGGCGCGGCCGAGTAAGGAAAGAATATAACATTGCTCGGATGAATGGAGAGATGACTGGGTTTAAAGCCCCACTTTAGCTACCATTTAAATATGGAGGCCTTGAGTTTGGTATAAGCGAGTAAAAGATGAAAGTAATACAATTTGGAACAGTTGGCATGGAACTTCGGTGTTTTATTTCTTTTCTAGGTTTGGTGACAACAGTGATGCTTTTTAATGTGCGACCGAGATATATCGCGAACATGCGTTCTATTCCCATTGGTTCCTAAGCATAAATCTCTGTCTCCGAGATATTCAGCTTAAAGGTTTCATAGCTTTAGGGACTGTTAGAAATTTGTCTAGCTGTACACGAAACATGTGCAGAGATGTGCAAGATCGAATGGACAATGGGAGACGATTCCAGATCATTGCATATCGAATGAAAGAAAAGTTTGCCCGCATGTTGGTGCTCGAATTTGTCATCGCAGGTTTGCAACTTTTATTACGGATAAGATAATCTTTGTTGTGTTGTAATTGGGTGAATATTCAGGCGTATGAATGCGCCCATGAATTACATTATAAAGCAGTGATATGTTTAGCTTTATTCTGCGTAGCCATATTGGGTCCAACATCAGCAATTTGCAGCGTTCAAGTTATGTTAATCTCTGAGTAGAGCCCAAAATCTGTCTTGTACCAGCACGTTGAACGCGCTCAGTGCTGCTGTGTCACTCTGCCTTGCAGTACGAACTACCATACCGCAGTACTATAACATTGGGCGTGTACAAGTCTTGTACAATGTAAGTTTAGCATTTGTTAAGGCAAAGTTTAAGAAACAGTGCATTCTTTTGCTTGGGTTTATCGACTGTGTAGTGTACTTGTTCAGAGAAGTTATGGTTGCCCGAATGGTGAAGTCCAAAGTCTCTTAATTAATTACCAGTTGCTAGGGGTTTACCGAAGTAGGTTAACGGTTGGAAATTCATATCACATTTGTATGCGATGCAATTACCTTTTCGACGAAGAAATGTGTTTTCTGTGCAACACCGTCCTCTAAGAGCATTCGTGTCAGTTGGTAACTTTCGAAACACGAGCTCTTGATTCCTGAGATCAAATGTCTACACAACCTCTATATCATCCGCAAACATGTAGGGTCTACGCTAGACGATAATTTCAAATATGCTGTTTCTCTACATCAGGAAGAGAAGTGTACCCAGAACACTGTCTTGAATAACACCAATTGTCATCGGGATGCAACAGGATTTGTGTTTACCTATCTAAACTGTTTGGGTTCTATCGGTAAGGCATGAATGCAACTAAGAAAGTAGTGGGTCAGCAATACCATACTCTGCCAGTTGTCAAAATCCTACTTGGTCAAAGGTATTTTACATGTCAGGGAGCAAGATAAAATGAACTTTAACACCGTTGACTGAGCTCGTGATGTGGTTTAAGAAGTCTACTTATCAAGACTGACAAGACTGACAAAGTCATGTGATTGGCTGGTTAGATACCTTGATATTAGAACCTGGAAAGTCCTAGCCTTTATAATCATCTCCACAGTTTTAAGAAGTAAGTAAGTATGGTTAATCGGGCGGTAACTTGCAATATCACATTATGAGCTTTGTTATATCTTGGTCAAATATCAGCATGTTTGTAGGGATGCGGAACAGTGCTGGCCCTCGTTGACTAGGTCAATATGTTCTGGAAAAGAATAGGGATATCCGGACTTCCGTATTTCAGTAAAGCTGATTTAATGTCAACAGGACCACCGTTAAAGGACAGTTTCAATGCGCTAAGCGATTTGCTTATTCTTGCTACAGGAAAGTCTACTGTCCATAATGTGCCGTCTGTAAGCCGCAATGACAAAACGGTGTGTTGGTCATTTGTATGGCACTTGAAGAAAGAACGAAGATGCTCATTGAAAAGATTACTAATGACTGCAGGATCGTCCATTAACGTGGTAGCGATACAATGGACATGGCACAGTCGTTTCTGCATCCGCCACTTCTCCTGAGATGCTGTAAAGTTTTTACGGTTTATTTGAGTCTACAAGAGCTTGATGTGTTCCTCATGACGCAGTCTATCAGCTCGACCAAATTCTAACTTGCAGATTACATTATGGAGCTGATATGGTGTGGCGAAGTCGTGGGATTTCTTTTGACAGCTGACCAGTTTGCTGATTTTCCTTTAGCAAAGTTGGTGACGCGAACGTTCGCAGTGGTGTTATGGCGTTTCTGTAGCGAAACTGTAGCGATAGTGTGTAAGCATTGGGCAATATTACGATAAACGACTTCGGTGGTAATGTCTGGATCGCATGCGAATAATAATCTAACCCAATGCATACAACTTATCAGCGTTGCGAGCGTGTCCCAGTTGATCATGATATAACCCGAACTGTTCTACTAGGTGGATAGAATACTAGATCGTAACATTTGCTCAACAAGCGTGATGCCCGGCGTGCCACAGACTAAAGACTTATGTGGATCATGTTCCAAACTTGTTAAGGAGGGCATTTTGTGCCGTAACTGTTGCAAGTTCTTCCATGCGAGATGCCTCCGAGTTAAACCTAGTCAGGCCAAGTTATTAAACAAACCAGACTCGCTATGGTTCTGTGTGGAATGCACATCGATCCCACTGATAAAAAGCATGCTCCTATTATCTCAGAAGTGTGAACAGCTACAATCC